ATTCCTGCTTAGTTGAAAAAACAATGACTTGAGAATAGGGAAACCTGGCATGACTTCTCTGTAAAAGCTGGGTAATCTCTGGCAATTAATCTGTCTTACTGTGCTGCAATTGTTCTATCTGCAAAAAGGGAAAATAATGCACAAGATAATTTCTAAAATTATTAGTTTTCAATTTTAAAAAGTCTGGTTATATAAATAATACTTGTTTAGTATAAGAAATTCAAAGTTCCTAGCACAATTATCAGTGATTAGTAGAGCATCTCCTGGTTAGGAAAAAAAAAAAAAAAAAGATACTTTCCTACTCCTGCTGCTTTATTTCTTATGACTTTGAGTTAATTTCTAGTGTTCTTTCATTTCAACCTGAAGGATACCTCTTTAGTTTTTCTTATAGGGCAGGTCCAGTAGTAAGAAACTACCTTAGTTTTTGTTTATGTGGGAATGTCTTACTTTCTCCTTCATTTCTGAAGACAGTTTTGCCAGTTATAGAATTTCTGGTTAATGGGTTTTTCCTTTCAGCACTTTAAACCTTGTCTTCTGGCCTCATGGTTTCTAATGAGAAATTGGCTGTTAATCTTACTGAGGATCCCTTGTATGTGACAAGTTGCTACTCTCTTGCTGCTTTCAGATTCTCTCTTTATCGTTCAACAGTCTATTATGATATATCTTGCTGTGGGTACTTTGAATCTATCCTACTTGGATATTGTTGAATTTCTTGGATATGTATATTTGGATCTTCCATCAAATTTGAGAAGTTTTGCATGTCATTTCTTCAGATATTCTCCTTCCTCCCTCCCTCCCTCCCTTTCCTTCTCCTCCTTCTCCTTTCTCTCTCTCTCACTCTCTGCTATTTCTGGGACTACTATAATGCAGTTTTTGGGCAACCTACAGGTACCTTACTTCACTTTTCTCCATGTTTTCTTCATCCTCAGACTCAATAACTTCAATTGTCCAATCTTCAAATTAGCTAATTCTTCTTCTTTTTGTTTAAATGTACTGTTAAATCCCTCATGTGAAGTTTTCATTTTTGTAATTGTAATTTTCAGATCCAGAATTTCAGTTTGGCTTTGTAAAAGAATTTCTCTTTACTGATATTCTGATTTTGTTAGTACACTGTTTTCAGTTTCCTTTAATTGTTTGTCCTTTTTTTTTCTAGCATACTTTAGCAGTTGTTTTAAAGACTTTGTCAAGTAAGCCCAACACCTAAACTTCCTCAGTGACATTTTCTGTCAAGTTATATTGTTCCTTTCAATGGATCATACTTCCCCGTTTCTTTATATGCCTTGTGATTTTTTGTTTTTAAACTGCTGTTGTTGGACAGTGGACATAAGAATATTATAATGCAGTAACTGTGAAAAGCAGATTCTCCCCCTTCCCAAAGATTTGCTGGGGATTTTTCTGTTTGTTTATTTGTTTGCTGAAGGCTGTAGAGTCTATTTGTAAAGTTACTTCCCTGAACAATTTTGCAAAGACTATGTTCCTTGTTGTGGGTAGTCACTGAAGTCTCTGTTCTTTAGCTTGTGTTCAGCTAGTGTTTTTGAAGGTTAGGAGCTAAAACAACAAACAAACAGAACCCTACAAAAAAACCAAACATACCCAAACAAAAACAACAACAATAACCACAAAAGCCACCTCTCCCAGCATTTGCAGATTGGCTCTGTGCTGAGGCACTCCTTCAACACTTAATCACAAAAATACACCACTGGAGAAAATCACCTACGTTCAACAAGTAGAAGAATGTACCACAATAAATGCATTTTCAGCAGACCATTTCCAATAGTCCCAATTCCAAGGTAACAATTTTGCCTTTGCAAGTGAGAGGGCAGGGAGTCTATAATCTGGTTACTATCTGTGAGCTGAGACTTCAGGGTGTGAAAAAATGCTTAAGCCCATGCTTTTGCTTATCACCATTAAAGAAAGAACAGTGGAGCCATTCTGTACTAGTACTATTTTCTAATCATGAGTTTCTCTGAGTTGGGCTTAGGAAACTTGAAAATTATGTTTTTCAGGGCTGAGATTAGATTTAGTTGAATTTCAATAGCAATCACTGGTCTTTCTGCCTGTACACCTAGACAGCAGGGCACAATCACTGGGTTCCAGGGTGAACTTGGTACTATTTTGGCATGCTCAGGGTCATCAACCCTTTAGGGTTGAAGATGCCTCTCTCTCTCTGGTTGTAAATATTGACTCACTTCATGAAAGACTAGAGAGGAGGGTTGTTGAAACCTCCTTCTGAACTCAAGACATTGCATGCTGTTAGTTAAAATGGAATAAGTAGATATATTTACCATTTAAACACAGTGTCCTAAGTTGTAACAAAGTAATTACTCATATTAATTTAAAATGCATAGCAAACTGAGCTCCATGCTGAAAATGACATTTTTGATCCACTAATTAGCTGGACACATATAGCAATTGTGGGCCTGTGCCTTTTCTCCTATGTCCTGCTTTCAACTAACTTTATAGTGCAGTTAAAAAAAAAAACCTGTCAATACATGACCATGTCAAATAAACATGTTATTGTTAATGAGCATGCTATTAGCCATGTTATTAATGATGATCTCAATATATGAGCATGTAAAACATGATGAGTTTTTCATCATGGCCAAAACATATCATGAACATTGTTATCTAACAGCTAAGTTATTGCCCATAGATCTTGAGAGCTGGATAAGATTCTTCCTTTAGAAATGTGTATGGATTGGAGATTTTGCCAACTTGGCACAAAAGAAAGCTTTCCAACCCTCTCATTATTCAGAAAGTAGTAATTACATTAAAATGAACTAAATAGATTACAAAGAAGACAAAAATTGTAATCTTGTGAAGATATAAATTGTAGCCAGTGATTGGGATGTGTTTCCATTATCACTGGCATTTGTAATCTAGAAGTTTTAAACTTCAATATATTCAATACATAAGTCATTATATTAGAAAATTCCATTTGAAAACTTAGAGAAGTTAGAATGGTTCAGATATAGACATATAGTAATTATGAAGGTATTTTATATGTTTATCCACTGATTTTTAAATATTCCTTTTCCGTGGACAAAATTATTAATCTCTTAAATATTCATTAAGCTGATTTTAATGAAGCAAAGTAATAAAAATCATTTTGCAGCAATTTCATAAATGTGAATGAAAATATGGTGCATTATATATTGCAAGTGACCCCGGCATCTTCAGCATGTGAACAGACTCTCACACCCCATTGTCTAATTTTACACTCTTCAATAGATGATTCTCTCCCAAAACAAAATACTTCATTCAGCCATATTGGACCAGTACCTGCAAAAATCAGATACAACTGTATTAATAAGTATAGTTTAGTGTTTATGTTTGAGTGGGAAAGAGCCATTAATTTATTCACCAGTTTAACAAAAAAAAAATGTGTTGATCATTATCCATATACAAGTTCTGTGCTCTGTATTAAGATTCAAAAATTAACCGCCTGCCCCAGAAAATTTTATTTTCTGTCACTGTGTAAACAACTAAAATACTAAGTAATAAGAGGTGTAACAAAGGTGCATACAGAGTTCTATGAAATCATAGATTAAAGAACTATTGGTTTCCTCTAATGATTTAATAGTTTTATTTTTAAAAATGAGGAAGGAAAATAAACTTTAATAATAATGGATATATGCAATGATTTAATGATCTATATGTATCTGTACAAGGCATATCTAGAACAGAAGCAATCCTGGAGTTCTTTTCTTAGGTTCCAGTGTATTTCAGTTTGCATGTGTCTGGTTTACCAGACATGTTATCTATTTTTAATTAAACCAAGAGTAATATGATCAGCAAAGGGCTTATAAAGTATCCTGCAAGAACACCATAGATTATTAAGTGCAAACACAAGCAAACAACAAGAAAATGGCACAGCTAACACTTATTCTTTTTGTCCGAATTCTTCCTCAGACACATTAGAAGGAAAAACGGCCTGTCAGCATAGGCTACCTAGAAGACAATTAACTAAATGAACGTAACCGCCACTTTCAAGATAAAGACATTATTTTATCAATGAATAAGAAAACAACTGTTTTTATGAAAGGAATTCATGGCAGGAAAAGATAACTTTAAAACGAATGTTTGAAAATGTTTTTCTGATATTCTCTAAAGATTTTTTAAGTGTATCACTATAAAAGTTTGTTCTTTTATACTTAAGACATTTGGGAGCAGAACCTTTGAAAAACTTCTAAATGAATGATTTCATTGGGTTTTGTTAAAAATATAATATTGCAAACCTCCTAATGAATTTTCAAGAACATTTCATGTTGTCAAGAAACTGATGATTTAGCAGCAAAATTTCAATAAACACCTTTGCAAAACTGGTGGATGGTAAATAAATATCTTAATACTGTAAGCATAATCAACAATGCATTTTTTCCATTTGAATCAATATGTTAAAAGGTTCTCTTTCAGTCACAAGAGCTATATAAAGCATATTTGGATATGTCTTCAAGACTTAGAAACATACCTTTGTGTAGTTCTAAAAGTTAAATGAAGACTTGTTTTTCACAGAGGCATACATAATGGCACATATAATTACATTACTCTTAACTGATTTTTCAAATATTATGTCAGTTCAAGAAATAAAAATTAACAACATGTGCTTGGTTAATAATGTGCATAATTGTATAGCAGTATGTGCCTATAATATATGAATACATTTCCAAGATACTGGAAATTTTGTAATCACAATGTGGATAACATTTGACTGAACCCTAAAAAATGGAGGTTTTCTGTGTATGGAAAAGAAGTCATTCCATATAGTGGGGGCAGCATGAAAATGCCTGATGTATTAGAACAGTTAATGGTCTCCTGGCATCTAAAACACAAAGTATATTAATGAGGGGAGGAGGACTCTTTTGGAAGGTTGGATAGAGAGCTGGGACCATGCTATAAACATTTTTGAATTTTATGTTGTGAGTCACCAAAAGAAATATCATCAGAACTGTATTTTAGAATTGTATGTTTGGCAGAAATGTGGAAGCTGGATTGAAGAAGAAAAAATCTATAAGCTAAAAGAACAGTTAATAGGATGTTTATATATATATATTTTCTGTGAAGACATGTTTTTATTTACCCTTAGAACTAGGAAATTTTGATTTCCACATAGAAAATAAATAGGTTCATTCACTTAGTTTTTGAATAATTTGTACCTTCACCAGAAATATCCAAATACAAGTTATATTTAGGTTTACATTATCAAGGTAACTGGAAATATTGTATTTTTCATTTCACATAATAGTAATTAAATCAACAGAATCCAAACAATGTTTCTATTAGACAAGCAAAGGTTTTCCTGGGCTGACCAATTATAAGAGTAGTAACCTGGACAGCTCAAGTGTTTTCTGAAATGTTTATAAGAGTATTAAGACTTTCAACTTGAAATTTTACAGCAGATAAAAAGGAAAAGATTAGGAGAATATGATCTCAAAGTCAGAAACCTTGCCAGGAATACTTTTTGGTTTCCAAATTGCTCTTACTAAGCATATCATGGTCCCTTTTCTGTTTGTGTTTGTAGGTATGAGCATGTTTGTGAATGTATGTATGAGCATGTTTGTGTATGTGTGTTTATTTTAAATATATAAAGTCTATCTGAACTTTTTGGAAGTTGCTCCAAAGGGCTATTCAAAAAACATAGGCAAGGACTTCCCTGGTGGTTCAGTGGTTAAGAATCCACCTGCCAATGCAGGAGACATGGGTTCGAGCCCTGGTCCGGGAAAATCCCACATGCTGCAGAGCAACTAAGCCTGTGTGCCACACCTACTGACTCTGCACTCTAGAGCCCACGAATCACAACTACTGAGTCCCTGTGCCACAACTACTGAAGCCTGCATGCCTAGAGCCTGTGCTCCACAACAAGAGAAGCCACCACAGTGAGAAGCCTGTGTACCACAATGAAGAGCAGTCCCCACTCACCACAACTAGAGAAAGCCTGCACACAGCAATGAAGACCCAACACAGCTAAATAAATAAATAAATAAAACCTTCATAAAAAAACATAGGCAAATAATAACAATTGCACAAATAATAAAATTACTTCCATTTTAACATGTAAAGGAACCAAAACAGTGACACATTTATGTATTATATTTATTGCATTTATGAACATTTATAAATTGTATAAATAAACATAAGTAAAACTTTTGGTGAAAGCCATGGCTCTGTTGTGTTTGGGAGCATGAGAACAGTATGGTTCCATGGCTTCTGTACCCAGGGGACAGTGATGCTTTCACTCTACATTTTGTAGATCTAGTCACCAGATTTATGTCTCAGCAGGGCAGAATTTTTACAATCCAGGAAAAGAGAATTAAGGGTGACAATCCTCTCAATGTCTGAAGTACCCAGAGGGCATCCCCATAAGGGAAGCACAAGATAGATATTATTCAGTCAATGTGCTGACATGTGAGCACAAGTTTTTAGAAACCACAGTAGAGGAAACCATGAATATTAGAATACCAAAGCTGTAGTAATAACAATGAACATTTAAGCCCAATTTTTTAAGAATTTACTGGGCAGAAAATATTCAAAGTACTTTTGAGTTATTATCTCACTGAATTCTCAAACAACCTTAAAAAGTTAATAAATGCTATTATAATGTCATTTTACTGTTGAGGAAAGTGAAAATCAGAGAGAAAAAGTAACTCCACCCAAGGTCACATAGCTAATGCCTAATGGAGCCAGTATTCCCACCCTGGGTCTGCCTAGTGTCAGTGTCTTTAATCAAAGATTTACTGCAATCCCCTGCATTATTAGATTTGGTCATTTAACAAATCTCTTTTGAGTGCCTATGTGAGTGAACAAAAATCAGAATCCATTCTCTCTTGGACTGACCTTCTACTGAAGGCTTCTGTTTTAGGTAAATGCAGCAACTGAGGTCACATATGTAATTAGTGGCAAAGCTGATTCTTGTATTTAGAACCCCTAACTCATATTTCAGTGCTTTTCTCACCAAGAACATATGGATGTGATAAATATATTGTATTATTCAGTAACTCTGGTCTTATGCTATGTGGAAGAGATTCAGACACAGTGAACATGCTAGGTCTTTTCACATATAATTTAAAAAATTTACTTCTAATAACTTTGTAAAATATTGGCAATTATTTCCATTTCACAGGTAAATAAACTGAGACTCAGAAAGGATGCATGACTTTCTCAAAACAACAGAGAGAATAGAGCCAAGCAACAGAACATGATGACATTTAAAACTTAGAGCTGTCCATTGACTACAAAGAAGCCCAGATAGTTATAAAAATAATTTGCAAGGATTTGCTGTTTTATTTTTATATTAATATATTTGGGACTATCAAGCCTAAGGAAAAAAATTATTTAATACTCATGTCCCATCTCCTTCCAAATTATTTTCTGCATTAAAAATTAATGCCAAGGTAGCATAAAATGCCTAAAATTTTATCTTCATGTGCACCTCAAAGATTAAAAAAGAGATCTGTTTTTATTTCTTTAGGTAATAACTGTTACTCAAGGATATTTTTTCTTGCTGCTGTCATTGTTATTTTTTGCCTCTGAGTTATCCTTTCTACTAGTGGAAACCTATGCAAAATTGATGTATATATTTTAGAAATGTTTTTATTCTCTAGTCCTGTTTATCATCTCTTTATCTATCTACCTAACCATCTATATATCTACAATTCCCTTTACAATTTGAAGGCTGCATAAGGAGGACAGATTGACCAATTTTGTGTTTCCAAAAGCAGACAATAACCGTGTCGTCCATGGCTTCTGGAATTTTATGAGCTTGGTTTGTGATGCTTAAGAGTATTCTTGACAGATGATACCATTTCCTCTTAGTCTCTCTTTTAAAAAGACAAATATTGATATTTCTTTGAGGGATTTGAGTTTCCTCAATCTTCGGTAACACTGCTTTTATTTAAAAAAGTAATCATATTTCACACATCAGCCAGATATACAGTGACACGATGAGATTTGAGATTAGCTCCTGAATGGATAAGTGGGGAAGCAAAAATCACTAATGGTTAAAGTCTCCAAATGATTTTTAATTACATCCAGTCGAGGCTGGGGGACATGCATTTATATCACTTTAAAACTTCTAGTTGGGAACTGCTTTGTCAACAGTTTCTTCTTTGAGAAAAGCATTCTGGGTTTTTGTTCTTGGATCAATGTTAAAAATGAAATGGGGGGGCTTCCCTGGTGGCGCAGTGGTTGAGAGTCCGCCTGCCGATGCAGGGGACGCGGGTTCATGCCCCGGTCCGGGAAGATCCCACATGCCGCGGAGCGGCTGGGCCCGTGAGCCATGGATGCTGAGCCTGCGCACCCGGAGCCTGTGCTCCGCAACGGGAGAGGCCACAACAGTGAGAGGCCCACGTACCGCCAGAAAAAAAGAAAACAGAAAAAATGAAATGGGAATCAAAATAGAGAATGGGTAAACTTAGACTATATAGCTCTGGATTCTAGTTTTGTGGTTCTGGAGAAGCCACTCATTTTCCCTGTTTTATTATATATGCAGAATAGAGAGGTGGGGGGTCGAAAGAGCTCTAAGATTTCATTTCCCTTTAAATTCTGTGATCCTAAGATTCTGAAGAAGCAAACTCTTTAGAAATGAAGTTTTTAAGGTTAAAGAACTTAGGACAGTCTGCCTAGTGGAGAGACAGGGTGAGGGATGGATGTTGAGTGCTCTCCCCACGACTGCCACAATAGCTATGTAAATGGCGCATGTTTTGTGACAGTTCTGTCAGCTTTACTTAATTTTATATGAAAAGTGGGGCTGCAATATCTATTTCTCACAGGCACTGTAAGCACTGAATGAGATCATGTAGTAAACACCTGATAAACAGTATTATTCCATACTTAGTATTTATTACCTTTGTTACTGTAAGTAACAGAACAGACATGTTAAGAACCCTATTATAACGGCTCTATATCAGGTTCCATAATACCCAACATCTAAACATTTACGTTTCAAAACTTTCAGTGCGCAGGGAGCAGTACATAAGAATTAGAGTTCTGACCTATTGATATATTTTATTCATCTTTGAGATTGTTTTACTTCCAATCACTAACGGATAGTTCAGAGATGCAGAGTTATATTCTTGATCTCCTTCAGTTTATTCTTGTAATTTTTTACAACTTCCACTCAGAAAATTGATTGTGGAATGTGAAAGGGGTAATGAATAAAAGATAGCATTTATGTTTAGAATTTTCTTTTGTTTCTGCTTTTAAGTTCAGAGCTTCAGCACCAACTCCTTTAAATTTAGGAGAAGATGAGATAGCTGCTCCAGATCCAGCTCTTACTTCCTGCATCAGCTGACAGGCTCAGACATGCCTGGAACAAACTCCCGGACTACCACTGTCCTCTGACAAAGCTCATCCAAGTTTGCTACAGGGAGACCACCAGGATGAGTGATTGGAAAGCTTGCATAGGGAGAGAAGAGCCTCCCTCCCCCTTCCCTGCCCCAGCAATGGCAAGCACCAGAAGCTTCTCAGTGCTTCCTTAGTTTAACCTTTTTGTCTACACAGGAAAAAGAAAGAACATTCCACTTTATGCAAATGGTGCAACCAGATGAAAGAACCCATTTAAAGGAGTGTGCTTTACGCTTTGTTCCTATAAATCATTTTCTTTGTAACTGCAAAACTCATTGTTCTTAAAGCTAATAAGGATTATCTCTGGTAAGCCAGGTTTGCTATCTTAAAATGAGAAGAAAGAAGGAGGAAGAAAAAAGGAGAGGGGGAAACTGTCCAGAAAATTGTATTTTTTCCTTAATGGGAGGAGAGATACAAAGGAGATAAATTTAAACTTTTAGCTTCTTGTTTCAATTTTGATAATAATGCAAAATATAGTATTAATCTGATTCTTCTTACTTTCCTATGAGAATGACACATAATTAAAACTCTAGTGCATTCCTCCTCCTCTCTCTACCCCTCCACTCATATTTCTAAGTTTCATTTCCAGTCTCTGTTCTGCATTCAAAATTACTTTTTCTTTTCCTCCTGAGTAAAACTGCAAATTTAAGGTGGAGGAGTGGAAAAAGGAGGCGTTGAAACAGCTTTACATGAAAAGGTGGTTTACCATGACTAATCCAACATCAGTTTACGATGCAAGCCTGTTTCTTAAAATACAACGTACAATGAAGCAGATCATGAAATTTATTTTTTAGATTCTTTTTCTCCAGAACAAATCACCTCAGTTCTATTCTTTCTCCCAGCTCATCTTGCTTTATTATTTTAAAATTCTCATCATCATTCTTCAATTTGGGGGGACTGAATATGCAGAGAGCTGAAACAGAGCTGGATGTGTGTGGAGCAGAGTGGGAAGATTAGAAGAGAAGGTTACACAGAATGCTTCTTAAATCACACTTCTGTACTGTGGGAAAAAACCACATTCAACTCTACCACCCTTGGAACATCGTGAATATCGCTCTACAGTATAACATGGATCTGACTTTTCTACCATTCAACAAGGATTGCAAATAAACTTGTAATTATACAGTTGGCAGTGCTGCTACCAGTGATCTCTGTCACTCTTGAGCAATGCTATGAGTCCGGCTTCGTAATGGGCACTTTCTATACGCAGCTCATTTCAGATTAAAATAAATCTGCTGGGTTGTTATTATTATTCTCATTTTATTGGAAAGGAAACTGAAAGTCTGAGATGTTTCAGAGCTAAGGTTTCAACTCATATCTCCTTAGTTTATATTATAAAACTTTTAGTCTTTCCAGTTCAGTTTGGTAGGTATTTGAGAATGTGAGAGGAAAAACAAAATTCTGATATATCTCATTGTTTTATTATAATAAAACTCTAGTTTAATGTATAGGATCATCAGCTACCATAAATACAAAGCCTCACTGAAAATGGATGCTCATCTTAGAGAAATAGTCAGTTACCTGAAGAAAACTTGAGAGAATCGTCTCCATATAGCCAAATGACTCATTTCACATGAGACTAAACTCTATTGTTTCTTATATAAATAATGAGCTTTCTTTTTTTTGGCCAGTACTTCAGAATATGTATTTTATTCCTTTCTTACCAGTGCTTTAGACTAGAAATCCCTAGAGGTATAAGCAAGAATGAATAAAAGCTGTGGGGAAAAGAATATTTGACTTGTGAGACTAGGCCTGCAAGTTAATGGAATCTTAAGATAATAGTCTCCAATTGTGTGTTTACCATCTAGGTTTAGAACCTCAATTGAAGAACAGCTCTGAAATCTAGGGCAAGGCTTCATATTCGTAAAAAGAACAGAGCTGGCATATAACGTCTTATTCACTTTCCCACCACAGATTGTATTTGAAATGTTTTATACAATTATGTATTTTAAATAAATGGCCTTTCATGCTATGGATCTTAGTTACCATAGAAGTGGATTTTTTTCCTCACAGAACATTGTAGAAACCCAGATTGGCAGTTTAGTCTTCCTAAACAATTCATTGATTCATTTGATTTTCTAGTGACTAAGAGTTAGGGATTTTTTTTCTTTTCCCCTTCTGTGGGGGGGAAAAAAAAATCCAGCTTATTGCTGTTTAAAACAATTCACTTAGGAGGTAAATTTTACAGGTGCAAAAGGCTGATTTTGGTCTCTGACACTTTTCAAGATGGGGAAGAGGTTCTGCAAGTGTAGTAGAAAAAAATGGAAGATTTGGAAATTCCAAAGGTCTGTTGGATGATGGCAAATTATGGATATTTTCTATTTCCTTTGTTTCTTCTATTCAAAATTCTAAGGCACAAATTAAAAACTGACAGCCGGGGGCTTGAACCTGGGTACAGAAACTTTCAACATCATCACTCTCTTCCATCTTGTGCTTAGCCTCTTTATGAAATTAAATCAAGTTTCTGGTCTCTAAAGACTTTAGAACCTGGATCCCTGCTAAAATTCACCTCTTAAATTTGATAAAAGGAATTCTTTTCATAAAGGAATAAAGGATATAATTGTGATCTTATTATTATCTTATCTTATTATTAATACCATTTACGTGTTTAGCACAATGCCCGACACATAGTTATTACTCAATAAACTGTAGCATAATAGTACTTAACAATCTATTTTATGAATTTAAGAAGTCTATCTTATCTTGGTTAGTCTTTTGACATGATAATTTGACATACTCCACAATTTTATCATCATACACAAGATTATCTGGTAATACTGCTATTTTATCTCTATTATTTTGCATACAATCTCCTATTGCCCATATCTATCTAGGAGAATAACACAAAATCAAGACGGTCAAATCTTTTTTTTTTTTTTTTTTTGGTCAACATGAACTTCAGAGATACCAATTATCTATCACATATGGACAGTAGAATAAATAAAGAGGAAATATTGACTATAAAATTCTAGAAAATTTTTTTTTTTTTTTTTTTTTTTGGTCAACATGAACTTCAGAGATACCAATTATCTATCACATATGGACAGTAGAATAAATAAAGAGGAAATATTGACTATAAAATTCTAGTTTACCTATATATGGCTATTTTTTTCTAATCTGTCCTTCAGAACTGAAGCACTTATATATGTTTAATTATACATAAAACCTATTATTAGGTGCCAATTTAGGGAAAAAAATGAAGTAATAAAAATATCATGGGTAAACATTCAAACATTCTGTCCCCAGCAAATTTTCTTCCTAGCTCTTTCAATACATTCATAGAACAAGTTACTGAGTCATCCAGATGAAAATATGCAGATATACATGCAGCAAAAAATTATTCAATTCGACCTCAAATAGAGGGGAAAGTAACCTTTCTCTTCCCTTATTTCTCATCAAGTTCCTTAAAGGAGAAGTCACAATTAGTAGGCATAGAGAACCTGTAAAATCACCTCTTTCTCTTTCATGGTTTTTCACTGTCCTTTCAGAATAGAGGTGCTCCATCATGGACTAAGCTTTGGGAAGTAAATGCAGAAGCTGGTACCCACCACCCACCCTCCAGTTCCACAGAAGAGAGAATGAGGGAGCACGTGGAACTGCCCAGCTGCCCGCAAGACCCAGATATGTAAATGAGTTTCCCAGGAAGTCATGCCTTGTCTATATAATTCACTGGTTCCTGTTCTGCTTTACCAGTAATTTTCCATATTTTCCTCTATTGTCCAACTAACTGATTGAGTCTAAAAGAAATTTAGACATTAAATGTTGTCTGAGAGCATCTTTTTTTTAAATCCCTATCTTTTCATTTCTACTTTCTAGGAAAGGCCTTAAAAAAAGAATCCTGCTTCCTATTCTATATGTTCCTGTCTCTACTTGATTGTATGTACTGGAGAATGCCTACATTTCATGAAAAAAAAAAAATTACCTTGTCCAAAATGAGCTCCCTTATGCACATTTCGAGCACCTTGGTATCCCAAACTCCTACAGATGACCTGTCCTCCACGCAATTCCCAGCGGTCGTCACAAACTGTACCCCACTGGCCATCATGGAAAATTTCCACTCTGCCTTCGTGAGGGCCGCTACCACCAACCAGTCGAACTGTCTTAGACGGTGCTGTCACAGAAACAAGCAGGGCTTAATTTTACATATATGTACATATTGCTTTATGCTTAAAAAAAAAGCATTTGAGCATTTTTCCAGCAAGTTCAATTATTGGAATAAATATTAAACTCTCTAGCATCACCTATTGGTAAAGAGTTTAATTGCAAACACTGTACATATTGGTCAGATCTGAAGAGTAAATCTACTCTTGCTTTTTTATAAGTTACATCTCTGAAAACACTGCAATGATTTTGTTCCAGTGACTTTAAAATTTTACAGCTACAAGTCTGTGAGTGTTATAGAGATTTTTCATACTATTTTTTAAAATTATAACAAAGTGACTGCTTTCTTGACACATTAACACACAAACTGGAACATACATCCAGTGACTTTCAGTGATACAGGAGGTTGAGGAGAAGATATTTTATAATATCATAAACATAAAAATAGACCAAACATCCTGTTCTTTACCAAGAAAAACAAGGTAACTATAATGACAAAATCAATTTAGAAATAGCAAAGATATTCCTTGATATAAGCCCCCTGGATTTTGTCCCAAAGTGTTTTTCTTGTTTTGTAAAAGGATTAATGAGATAGAAATCAGACAAGTTTCGTTTATTTTGAGAAATCGCTAGATCAGTAAACTTTGGGAAGAAATATACCATGTTTACAACAAAGTAACTTTGTTCTGCAATGCCTAAGTGATCAAAATTGCCATATATACAGTAAACTTTTATAAAACTTTGATCATACGCAGTGATTTACATAAATATGGAATGTCTCTTTCCCATTTTTAAAACCAACATACACATTTTGAACCTAAGAACAGATAAAGTGTGTAAATAGTATCACAAAAAATTTCACTTAGAGTTAGAAAATTTCTTTAAACGGCCTGAACTATTCTAGTTAAGTATTTGTTAAAAAATCATTTGGCTGAAGAACAGAAAAAGGCAAAGACAGAAAATAATTTTTTAAATTTACTTAGTGCTAAATAAATTAAAAATATTCTCTAATAATTAGAAAAGCCAATGAATAAACACAGTTCTATTTAAATATATCTTTTCAAATATGAGTTTGAAGAACACCATAATATAAAAAAGCAAGATGTAATTCTTACAACAGAAGTATCTCTGTAATGTGAAAATGGAGTTTTAGTGTATGGGTTTTCAGAACTCAGTTAACTAAAGAAATAGTAACTTTTGTTTTCTAATTTGAGCAAATTTTGTTGGAACAGTAATCCAACAGTATGTAAACAAAATAAAAAATTTCCTACAAGCCTGACTGAGCCACTCAAAAACATGAAAAGCAAACATTAACATTTAGTATTACAATTATAATTATCTTCTTGATTTGTCCAAAATATAATTCAGTGCTAAATACTGAATTAATGTAATAATGTCCAGGTGCATAAGCCCTTCCTCACTTAATAAACATGAGTTACAAACATTAAAAACATTTTTAAAAAGGAAAATAATTTGCTATTGCAGTATTCAAACTTCCAATTGCTAAGTAAAATACCTGGGTGACCCAATCATTCACTGTAAATGCCTAAGAAAATAGGAAATAATAACCCAGGAATAGATTGTGTAGTTTTAAAACACTACAGTCATGTAATAGTAACTAGTGCCACTCCCAAATGTTTATTTTTACAGAAGTTAAAAATAAATCTCCCTGTGCTATGCTGCTACTTCCCATCAGCCAACTATTTTACATTCGGTAGTGTATATATGTGGATGCTACTCTCATTTTGCCCCAGCTTCGCCCTCCCACCCCATGTCCTCAAGTCCATTTTCTATGCCTACCTCTTTATTCCTGTCCTGCCCCTAGGTTCTTCAAAACCACTTTTTTTTTTTTTTTACATTCCATATATATGCGTTAGCATACAGTATTTATTTTTCTCTTTCTGACTTACTTTACTCTGTATGACAGACTCTAGGTCCATCCACCTCACTACAAATAACTCAATTTCATTTCTTTTCATGGCTGAGTAATATTCCATTGTATATATGTGCCACATCTTCTTTATGCATTCATCTGTTGATGGACATTTTGGTTGGTTCCACGTCCTGGCTATTGTAAATAGAGGACACAACCTTTAAAAGAATGACATAGCCATAGGACATGACATAAACTGGTTAGAACCAACTAGGTCTGAGATGGTGGACGAGACTTCCACTGCACCTTGAGCCTCTGTATACGCTCACTGTAACACATCAACATGCTAAATGACACACCCACAGGCTCCCTGACAGTTCCAAGGCTGACCATAGAAGGTCAACAAGTGGGTGGTGGCCCAGTTCCTGGAAATCACCACCCCTTCCCCAAAATAGCTGGAATACTCTTCCCACTCATTAGCCTAAGAAATTAACTGCCCCCCCCCCTGCAAAAAAAAAACTGACAACCCTGTACTCTGGTGCTGCTCTCACCTTCTGAGATGGCCCACACTCTGTCTGTGGAGTGTGTTTCTCTCTAAATAAATCCACTTCTTACCTATCACTTTGTCTCTCACGGAATTCTTTCTGTGATGAGACATCAAGAACCTGAGCTTCATTAAGTTCTGAGACCAGGTGTGTGGTATCAGTTAAAAGACTGTGGGTTCAAGTCCCAATCTGAGATACATGGTTTAAGTTAGGCACCTGGAACAGCTGAATCAACACTTGAATCTGCTCAGGATTCTCTCTCCAAATTTTATCCAAGAGCCTCTCTGTTAAGTTGCTTCATTCTTTCCTTTGATTGCAAGCTGGACATCTTTGTTCCCCAGTGAACATGTCTGTTAACAACTCCTATATTTATTTTTACAGTCTCTTTCTCAGAGATAGTTCTAAAATATCCAAGGAAGTCCTCCTATGACCTAGTTTGGGTGAGATGCCCATCTATGGACTAAACAGCTTGGGCAAAAGACAGGGTCAGTTACGTTCACATGCCATTCCTGGAATGGGGAGAGGGGAGAGGCATTTCCTTGTTGAAGTTGAGTTTTGAGCAAAGACAGTAAGCCCGGTTCATCAGACATTTTAATAATCTTTGTGTATTTATGAATATTCATTATACTATACGTTTAGCCTGGTGTTCTTTTAATATCCCTGACTGTAGAATATAACTGAAATTAAAAATCCACGAGTTAGATAATCGGGATTTTACTTATTCCTCTGACACTATTTATGTGAGCTTATTAAACTGTTCAATCTCTCTGGGACCAAAATTTCCAACTGTTAAAAAGAGAAAATGATATTTGCTCTTAGTTAAAGCATCTAAACACAACTTCTCTGTGCCAGGCATATTCCTTGGTTTCAGAAATTATTTGAATAAAGCATGTATCCTGCCCTCAAGATTCAAGTATTTCTGAGGTTATTTTGAAGGTTAAATAGTTTATTCTTTAAAATGAAGTACAAATGTAAAGGTTTTACTTTTACAAGTTTTGAAAATTTTGAGGTTTACATTTTGTGGAGAAAGCATTAGAATGAATATATTATCTTGATATTAATCACTTTATTAATTTTTTAACTACTTTCCTATTTAATACTTATCCTTCTCAAAGAGGAGATCTTAATCAAGTAGGATGACATTTTACAGATAGACAAAACCTACCCTATGGTTTCAGATGTGAGTGTATTTGACCTTTTTTATTTCCAAACATGATAAATCTTGAAGAGACTCCTGGAGACCAGTAATGAGTAAACTATGGCCTTAAGCCAATCTCAGCTTGCTGTCTATTTTGTAAATAAAGTTTTGGTGGAATGCAGCCATGCCCATTAGTTTACATACTGTGTTGGGCTGCTTTCAGGCTACACAGCAGAGTTGAATAGTGTGACAGAGACCTTCTGGCACGCAATCCAAAAATATTTACTAGCTGGTCCTTTTCTGAAAAAGCTTGCCAACCCCTGATATAATTGAAAACACAAGACTAGTATGATAGAGGATTTCAGTAGGGAAAATCCTGCCGTGTGACCACTGGAACAAATAAGGTCATGATTAATCTCTACTTACTTCTCCAGTTTAACCCTTTGAAAACCTCTCTGCCCCTTGCTCCCTTTAGTTCAATTATATAATTACTCACATTCCCAAATAAGCCTTGCTCTCCTTTATTTCTGGGGCTTTCGTTCCTCAATCCCCCCCCCCACCCTTTCCTCCCCTCCCCACCACTGGTACCTTCCATTTCTTCACCCTCAGCCCCCAGTTTGGATTGGTATCCCTTCTCAGGCTCGCATAGCACTACTGCCCTACAAAGCACCGTAAACTAGGTAATTTTCTCTCCCAGACTGAGGTCCTTCCCGTTATCTTTTCAATACCTGACCAAATATCACTTGATGAAGAGTTTATGGTGTGAATGAATGAATTTTGACCTCTTCTTGATACGCCATCTCTATTACCTGAGTGGATTAAATTGGCAAATGCTTCAAATATCAAACACTGAAAGAAGTAGAATTTAGTATGTCACCAGTCTCTAGAGAGGATATAGTTTCTATGTGTAGAAACAGTAAAGGAAATTGCGAAGGAAGGGTTGATTTAAACATGAGTCCTATTATAGGCAAAAACTATGTGGCTGTCCACGAAGAGCCCTCCAGGGTGGACCGGTCTGGTGGCAGGGTCTGATCAGAAACTTCACATATTCCGAAACCTGATTATTTGTAGGTTTAGAGGATTTATCTCTTAGTGGCAGACTAATGTTAAACAGACTCTCGGGACTAAATGTCAATTCAATTTACAACCAGAAAGGTAGTTGCCTCAAAACGGGAATATTTTTAACTACTTGACAAGGCCATTTTCTCTCTGTGGACAATCTGCACAAGAAGTCAAATCACAATCAGTGAATTATTCATTTAATTAATTTATTAATTTACAATGAGACATAGCTATGAGATTTTGCCTCTGGGTTTGGCCAGTGCTCTTTGCTTAACACATTTTTTTAATATATGTTAATATATTCCATCAGGTTAGGTGGTTTGACATATCTCTGCTCTGATTCAATGCAGTTTAACTTTCTAAAGGCAATCTTACTCTTATTCCCTAGATTT